GGGCTACGGGCCGGGCAGCCGGCTTCTCCCCGGCCATCGTCCCGGCCCCGGAGCGGGGAGGAAGCTGCTCCGACAGCCACCGACCCGCCTGCTTTGGTAATCACACGTAGGATAAGACTTTTGCCCAGTTACTGAAGAGGTAGCTAATGCTCAGTCCGTCGATTATACAATCTCAAAGGAAAAACGTCCGTTCTGCCTTCCCAACCCTTACCAAGCCAGGAGGGGCGGCTATTTTCCTCCCTTTGTTTTTTTAAAAAAATGAAGATTTAACGTGACTTTAGAATTCTTCCAACAGTTTCAGTTTGTATCACATTTTGAATCTCCCTCCTTGCCTTTACTCCTCCCAATGACTCCACAACCAGAATCAGCCCCACACAATTAATTTTTAAGTTATTTCAACGGAAGTTCAGCAGCTATCTAAGTTTTGCCAAAAAAGCTAGGGGAGAAAAAGTATGACACTTGAATTTGATCAGTTACTAACTTGCAAAACATGTCTTCTAAAAAAAAAATAAATTAAGGAAAGACTCATCCCTGATCTACACAGGAGGCTGTGCAGCTGCACCATATGCTGCAGGAACACACGCTACACAAGCTACCATCACTCAGAAAAGCGGTCAACCTAAACCTCTGGTAAACCTAAGAGTTCTACGATTTTCTTCTATATAAAATAAATAAATAAAATGCCAACATAAAAAAAAAATCCTAATATATTCAAGGAATTATTAAAATATTTTTGTAATAGACTTCAGTTATTTTTAGGATATGTAGGAAGTTGTACAGCACATTAAGTTGTGAGACTATCCACTTACCAGCAAATAGTATTCTACACATTAACACACAGATTATGATAACTGCCATAGTCCTCATCTGAATACGTAGCATCAGTAGCAACAACCAATGGATCTAGTCTTTCACTAATCGGAACATTGCAATGAAGACAACATTTTACATACATGGAAAATTAAGTTCATCTTATTCTATAATCAAGCTGCCTCTGTATATTCCATTTATAATAATTCTCACTCCATTTTAATCTGTAATTCAGAGAAGAAGCATTAGCCAGATTTTTCTTTTCTAATACCTCTTCTATACTCTTCACTTGTCTGTTCCATATAGGGGCAAGTCTTAGATGAACTCTACCACCAGCGCACTTTGCACCGTGCCATCAGCGTATTGCCCTCTTAGATCTCCAGTGTTTCTGGAGTCATGCAGCTGTCTCCTGCATAAATCTTTTGGTCTGCGCCCTTTTGCCAAGCCAAAAGCACAGACATTATTAAGAAGTCACTTTTCATCCAACAGATGTGTCCATTTTCATTGAAGAAGCAGTCTTCTGCATTTCTGCTTTTCCTATTTATTTCTGCCATGGTTTCACCAAATGACCACAAGCAGCCTTTTAACTGAACGGCCAGTAGTCTCGGCCTTCTCAGAGGTTGACATCACCACAGTGCAGGGTGGACTGAAAGCCTATGTATCTTGACCAAATCATCTTTTTGTTTCTTAGGAAAGCCCTTGTTTCTTCATATCAGCTTCAAGTCACCCATGGCTACTTCAACAAGCTGTATTCTCCTTGCAGTAACATTACAGCGTATGATTCCACAAAAAAAAACCACTTCCCAGATACACAAAGTTTTCAATACTGTCCATTTTGCTGCCACTTCTAGCATTTGTATAGTTTTATTCCTTTCTCTGGCAGAAGACCATTTTCTTTATTGTGTCCATAGTCACATCTGGTTAGATCGTTCACTAGTCCCTTACAGCACGTTGACCTGGCTCTGCAAGCTCTTATTCTCCATGTCTATCTTCGTTTTGATGTTAGTGCTAGAACTTATTTCCATATAGTGAATAATATATTATCAAAATGTTTGAACAATACAGCCGATTCTGCCTGAAGACAGAATGCAAGTGTCAGATGCAACCGTCACGGTCAGTTTTAGCTCAAAATGACTCTGAAAGCGGGTGGCTTTAAGAGGAAAAACAGTTTTTCTTCCCATGCAAACCTATTTCCTGCCCCAGGAACCTGAACAATAATTTTTAAAAGTTCCAAATAGTTAGATTTTAGGCCTAAATATATTTGCTACAACTTAAAAGATGTAATGCCCTGACTCCATTTCCATTGCTTACTTCATAGCTGTCCACATAATAGTTCATGTAACAGTCAAGTACAGTAGTTTAAGAACTCAATTGCAAAAACCGATTCACAGAATCACCTTGCTTTTCTACTTGAAAGTATGTGGATTTCTGAAAATGTTCTGCAACATTAGCACATTTTATCGTCCATCAGTGTAATGTCTGCATTAGGAAATCCTGGCTTCTACACACACATATCTGAAGAGCAAGACCAACTTTTGATAATTACATATAAAACATTTTTTGCTCTAACACACCTTTGGTCATACCTGTTTAGCATTTTTAACCATACAATAGCAGCCTTTCACCCCCACCCCCTCATTCAAACACACAAACAGTACTGCTTGTAGGTAGGAAGCATAATCTCAGCCTCACGGCAAACCTTGTGGAAAAGAGCTGCATTGGAAGAAATACTTATTCCAAATACAAACAGCAGTTCTCTACCGAGGATCAGCTATTTGATTATTAGTCTATGCTACACTTCAATGTAATAAGAGTGCTGTTCTACTGGGAATGGTGTTCCTCAGATAAATTAGTGTCTTTCAGCCTGATTGGGATGCGGATAATTCCACGGCACTTTCGAGAAGCAATATGGTATAATCCCAGAGTCCCAATTAACATGCCATTCCCGCTACATTTGATGTTTAAGGCGGTATACAAGAGGTATTGCTGAGTACAGTCAATAGCTGATATATTAACCTATGGAAATTGTGCTACCTATACCTCATCCTAGGCTCTGTAAAACACTAATGGTCATGAACCATGCAGGTCACTTAAAAAAAAAAAAAAAGTATTCTTTTAAAGTCCAAGAAATCAAAAAACTTTAAGTTGTTAATGTTCTTATGGCAGGTATTTTTGTTTCTTTTTTCAAGTTAACCGACATGTGGCCCTTTTTAGATATCAAGGAGAGACATACGAGAACTAAGGCCGGGGGGGAGGGGGAAGCAAAGCATGGAGTTGTTATACATTGCAGCTTTTAAAACAGATTCTTTTCACAGTGTCAAAAAGCAGTATTTCTCCACTCCAGCTATGCTTTAAAACCAACAACTGTTGTGGCTTTTGTGATGCAAAATTTATGGAAGATGGATGACAATTTTTAGTTTTGAAGTGTTTAGCTTGTCTCAGTACATACACTGGTAAGTGCCCTTTAAAAATCCTAGGTATGACAGCAAAAGAAATAGGTCATACTTGCACTCCAGGCACTGGCCTCTCACATTCCAGAGCTGCAATTTATTCTCATTTTGAACAGTTCTATGCAATAATTAGCTAACCTTGCCAAATCATTTAGGGTTTTATCTTTTCATAATGCATGTTGAGGTTAAAAACCCTGAGAGCTTTTAAAGATAGCGCTGATTGGCAGCAGAAGTTTCTTGAAATAGTTTAGAAAGGGAAAAAAAAGTGACAAAAAATACTTCATTTCAACTGTAGGGGTCTAGGGGTAAGATCAGAGAAAGATAGTTTTAAGAGGTAAGTTTAAATTTAACTATATGGAGTGCTTTCAGTTATCCAGTGCTTAAAAAAAAAATAATTGGGTTATCTCACAAACTTGTCCTCTTTGCTCTTTCCTCCATCTGCCCAGACACAGAGAGGCCTCTAACTGTTCAGCAGATGGTTTACTTGCAGCCCACAGCAACAGTCTTTCAAAAGGTGTTAGTCTTGAGTCTCCTAATCAGAGAAATGAAACAATTAACCCCATAATCCACAGTAGAGACACAGACAGAAACCTGAAGGAAGATTGCTATTCACAGAAAATTATCAAGTAAGACTAAGAATGATGGCTGAAGACCTGCCATGTTTTGCAATCCAACACACCATCCATCCGTAGCCTTTCAGAGCATACTACTAGTTTAGGTAAGAGCCCAAACCAACTCTTTGCTCCTCTCAGTCACGATCCCTACAAAGGGCTGTTTTTAATTGCTTAATTGACACAGGTACTATCATTTCTTAAACTGAGCACAGCCTGAGGCAGCTTCCCTGCGTCGAGTACCTGGCTTGCATCAGCTTGCTGACAGACCTTACTGTCTGTAGCAGCGCTACATGTGAATGAATCGAAGTCCACTGTTATGTCTTGAACGTTTCTTTCATTGGCATTGTCAAAGCTATTTTTACCGTGTAGCTGTTTAAGATGTTTCCTCAGAACGGGTTTATGCGCAAAAACCATGTCACAGTAGTTACACTTATGGGGCTTGTCCCCACTGTGCAGGTTGAGATGGTCCTGTAAGGAACATTTCTGAGAGAATGTTTTCCCACAGATCTTACATTGGAACGGTTTGATGCCTGCGTGCACTCTCATGTGCCGGTGGAGATTTCCTTTCTGAGTGAATGTCTTGCCACAGAGTAGACACATAAATAGTTTATGCATCTTTAAGTGATTAGCATAGTTTTCCAGATGCCGAAATACTCTTGTGCACTTTGGACACTGATGGTGCCACTGGAGGCCTTTGTCTATACCTCGGTTGTTAGGCCCAAACATATCTTTAGAGGCCAGAATGATGTTATCACTGCCAGCATATGAAAGGGCATAGTTGTGGAGGTGGTTTTGCTCTATTTCACTCGCTCTGTTTTCAACAGTGGAGTTGATAAGAAAGTGTTGAGGCTCTGAGGAATGCAATGCAGTTTGTTCAGAAGAAATAAACTGGTTCTGATCCTTCTTATTCCTAACTTCTGTTACCTCCCCAATGGACTCCACCTTGATGATCTGAATATCACTATCCTCCATGTCCATACTGTCTTCTGAAGGTTGAATACAAGGTGAATCTTGCTGCAGAGAGTCATCGTCTCCTTGATGCTCCTTCAGCTCAGAGGAGTCGCTTTGCTGTTCACACTCCTTGCTCTCCAACGGCTGCTTCGGTTTTATAAACTTCCAGAGGGCCTGTGTACATCGCTCAACAATGTGGCTCATCTGCAGAAAGCTTGCAGCAGTCAAGTAGTTTACCAGTTCCATTTCAGGAAACTCCAGAATGCCACTGTAACAGGATAGAAGCAGCTGCCTCCCCACTTCTGAACTCTGCAGTATAGAGATTTTTACATCTCTGGAGTCATTTAGTAAGAACTGATCTCTTAAAAAGGGAGACCCAGCAGCAAATACAATTTTATGCCCACGAACTTCAACGTCATCTATATGGACCACGACATCACAAAATTTGTTTTCTTCCCTCAGTTTGTTCATTTTCTGTAACATCGAATCCCCATAATTGTCAAACTTGAAGTGAAGAATATCTGCTCTTTCTGACATTTTGGCACACCTAAGGAAAAGCAGCAAGAAAAAAAAAAAGTGAGAACTTTTTTTTGCTTTCTAAAATGCAAATTAGAAGGATCTAAAGTAATAACATAAAGTGTGTGTTTAATCAGACGTTATGTTTTATCCTAGACAAATATTAAAGTCCATTACAAGTTAAAAGTAAAAAAAAAAAATAAAATCAAGCTTACACCTCGCCTTACAATATCTTTTACCTTTTTTTAATTTAATGCAGCTTGACTATAAAGTAAAGGTGCTATGACAGAAATTCTCCTGAAGCAGTATCCTAAAGAGTTAAGATGTTTTCCACACTACTTGTCTGGAATTTAAAGGGAAACCATGGAAGTATTTTTAGAAGCCTTAGCTCTTGTTAAGCTTTGCTTCCACATTAAAACTCATCAGAGATTTTTGTCTTTACCAAATAACAATGATGTTCCATTAGCTTTTGGTTCTTGATTTCCTCTAATACCTAAATAGCGTTCATAACGAATGAATTCAAGGTGAGACAGAACGTGGCACTTGCCAGACATACAAATATCCCTCTTAAACCTTCTGCATCTATCGTTTACTGCTCCTAAGAGTTACAGTCCAAGAACAACAGCTACAGTTCCTCTAGGATGCTCCACAATTTGCAGGAATATTGATAGACAGAAGACACATCTCGTTGGCAGTGAGTGTAATTTCAACAAGCCACTCACTGAGCAGGAAGGACTACACAAGCTCTGTGATACCCACAGCACTGGGTTTAACGCATCCTTTTAGATTGTCTTTTAAAGTTTTTTTGCAGGGGTTGGTTTGCTGTGTGTTGTTTTGGTGTTGTTTTTTTTTTTAAAAGATCACAGAAAAGAATCTTCCATCTGGCCCCTCACTATATAAATCATGCCTTCTAGCTCCCCGTTTTGAATACCCAGGCAATGTCGGAAGTCTTGTTTCTTGTCTTCTTTGGAAGATCACTCCTCTAGGAAGTTTGTTCTTGTTTGATAGTATTTGGAATGAAGAACAGTGGATCTCCCACAAAACAAGTATCAATCTTCTGTCTTTTAACAGTTCTTTGAACAATTTATAAGACTACACTGATTCTTGATGAAACACTGTTCATGCAATCCTGCCAGAGAACTGGGATTGCAGGAAGCGAAGAAATCACAGGAGACTAAATGATGCAAGATTTGGTGAGATAAAATAACAAAACAAAGCAAAACTTACACGTCACAACTATTGCGAACTGCACATAAAGCTTGAAAGGAAGCTTTGAAGTTTATAGATAAAAGCAGATACAGCTCTCTTGGGGCATGAAATGTCAGCTCAGTGTACACAACAGGAAACGGAGTCATGCCTAGTGTAAATGAATGAATGTGCGGGACAAGGGTTCAAAGAAGAACATTTTTAGAAGTATCTGTTGATAATCAGGGTTGTTTCAATTTGCTAATCAGACATCATTCGGAAACTTGACCTACTCAGTACTCGAGCCCATCAAGTATATCTTCCAGCGTACGGCATGTGAAAAATCAGAAACGGATTTCAAAAGCCACCAGAAACAAGGGACCGCAAAGTCTGGAAACAGGAGTAGCATCATTCAGCAGTACAACCAGTTCTGCTGAATCTACAGAAAGTAGAGCCGCCAGTCTTTTACTCATCCTGTCTTCAGTGCTGCCTGACTCATCCCCATTTTGAGGGCAAAAAGTTTCATTTTATGAGGCAATAGCCTTCAGCAAATATAAACTGTAGCAATAGATCATCATGAAGTATCTTCAGTGAATTTCAGGCATTATTGAACAGTTTCTTTTTGTGTTTTCTCTTGGAAGAAATGAAGAAAGTCTACTTGTGAGCCTGTTTTTTCCACCTTGGGATAGTACCACAGAAATGCAGTGAAACGCCTGTCCTGAGGGGATGCTGTGCTGTGAGCCAGACACCACTGCCCCAGCAGCTCAGCGCTCCTCGGGCAGATTACAAGAGAAACTGAAAACAGAAAAGAAGCGACTTGCCTTGACACACGTTCAGTTTCCACTACCACTGCTCCCCGAGAAAGAAAAGCCATCCCTCGGGTCCCCAGCTCCCTTCTCGGGAGGGCGGCAGACCAGGCCTGACTTCTGCTCAGCCGGTAACCGGGAAAACGATGTTCTGGGCCAGCTCAGCCGAAAGCCCGCGCAGCTTTTCAAAACAATACCCGCGCGCCAGCTCCTTTGCTAGCGCGGGGGAGGCC